AGTATTATGCTGCCAGAAATATCCACATTATTTGCTTTTCTTGACTGGAAAGTAAACCAGTTGAAAGTGTATCAGGTAAGACATTCTCCTCTACTGTAAAGCTATCAGCACAATCAAATATTTTTAAACATACTTTGAGATCCAAGAGATAGTTGTAAGGCATAAATATAATATCTGCAGTGGTCTTCAATTCCCTGGCCATGTAATATGGGCATACCCTGAAGTAAACAACAATTGCTTTTATGTCAATTAAGTGAAATAAATGTTTTCTATATTGTTTTATTAGTTTATTTTGCAATTTTAGCCATAAGAAAAGTTGAAACTGTAACCAGTAGGTTGTTGGTAGTGGTAAGGGGTTAAGGTGTGCGTATGTGATAGGATTTGTTGTTGCCGTTGTTGTGCAGATCTACACATGTTTCCAACACAAACATTAATTGTCCAAAATGCTTTGGTTTGCTTGCAGTTACATTCTATAGTGGGAATAAATTATCCTAAGTAACCTTGTTTTCTATGACAATTTATATTTGTCACCTGTGTCTTTGTCCAAGTTCCACCAAATCTTCAATGTCCAGGATACTTTGTGTGAAATCTTTATTGGCCTTGTTTGCTTATTGAAAGATAAATTAATGAGGTGATAATAATGATAAATTGTATAATATGAAAATATTTGTATGATATTCTACATTCTACAGGTATTTTGACTGGCACTCATATAAAAAAATCTATTAGTGGACATACATATGGATCATTAGTTTAAATTAGCTTGACGATGTTTTCCACAAAAATTAAATTTAACATCTACAAGAGATTCTGCAACAGACCAGGTCAAAATTTTTTTTCTTAGCCTAATTCCTTTTATGTGGTATTTGAAGTGTAATGAGGTGCTGCTAGTTTGAAATCTAAAGCTGTTTCACAAGAAATTCAATTGGTAGCAAAAAATAAATAACCAGTTCTGTTACCATCCAAATTGTTGAAAAAATGACATGTCCTTGCCTGAACTTTAGCTCTGCACATATGTACCTGTTATCAGTGTCAAAGTATCCATGATCAAAATTTAATGCACACAGTAAAACCATGTCATGTTAGTTTCTATTTACTATGATTTCCCATTTTACCACACAACATTCGGAAACATTACAACTATTTCATTTCAACAATCTTGAATTTTTTGCCTCAGTCTAAATGAAATGATTAAAACTAGTTTGAGATTGCTTTCTTTTACTGTTGAAGCAGAGAACAGCTTCTTTAATTTTTCATTTCACAACCAACTTCCTCTCAATAAACCTCCTAAAAATACTTCTATAACAAAGTAAGTGTTAGAGGATTGAAGCCCAGTTTTGATACTATTAGATGTTGTTCTCTAGAAACACTGGTCTTCAGAGTAAACGTTATGTTTATGTTGTTCTGGTATATATCTTATAACACTAAGAGAAGCTATCAACAACATCTGCTGTGTCAAAAAGAGGACCATCAAAAAACAAACTACTCGGATCAAATTTTTTTCCTTTCCTTTTCACCACTCATCTCTGTTTATCTAAACCGTAATCTGCAGTCTTTTCTGACCTTTGCCGAGTTAGTTTCCTGTTTCAGGACATCATTATTAACACAAAGCTGTTCACGAGATCCAATGATACTAACTTTAGGTCTGAAAAAGAGTAAGAAACTGATTATTAAGCTAAGTTTGCTACAAGACAAGCAATGAACAACATAACAAGAAAATTAAATCCCTTACAAAACAAACCCTTTCTAGGACGTTTTTTGATGAAACAAGTTGCTTCCTTCTCAAGGCAAAATTTCTCCTATATTTCTTATATCTCTTAAAGAAAAACAAAGCTGTTTTGAAAAGCTTTACAGCAAAAAAAAATTTTTAATTCCCTTGGATAAAAGTATAGTGACCTAAGTCCCTACCTATAGATTGTATTTTTAAGTTCATGCACAGCCTGAGACAGCTGGGAATGTGTTCTTGAAGAATACAAAATTCTTGGAGCCTCAAGAAAAGAACCTAAAATTTGAGGGGAGAATATCAATCAGTTTAAGTACTGTTTGTTTTGCTTAATAGTCAATTATTGTGAAACTCAATATAAGATTTGCAGAGAAATTCTATGACACTGCAATACAACTCCTGCAATAAAGTGTCTCCTTTCCATTTCAGGGACTGAGATTATTGCATGTGATTCAGTTTAAAATGAAATCAGGTCAAACCAAATTCAAACTACTTTAATATCTGTTTTCCTTTGTTCTGATAAATCATTTTCTTAAACAAATTAGATCCTTGTTTGAAATAATTTTTACAAAAGTTTGAGTAGAATTCCACTAGAACTCAAACCTTAGGTTTTTGAGTATGCAAAAACCTCAACTGTTTCAAGACCCTTGCACTAACTCTTTTCACCCTAACATCAGTGAGCATATTCTCCATACTGTTCTCTATACATTTCCTGTGGTACTGGCAAGGAAAATTTAAGTAATGTTCAAGAGCCTCTTTGAAAAGTGATTTGAGTGTGATTCTGGGGTAGTATCATAGGAAGAAACTAGATGTTAGTCACTCTTAGGGGTCAAAAGGTTAATTAAAGCTTAAATCTCACACCTTTATCACCATCTGTTGCTCCCCAAGAGCCTCCATTAGTAGCATGCTGTAGTTCTTCACCTAATGCTTGCACATAACTGGAACCACCTTGATCAGATGTAAGCCTCTGTCTAAGCTGCAGTTTTGCCACATAACTTTCTCTCCAAGCCAGTGTTGCACACAGCAAACAAAGGGTTTTTCCTGTTCCAGTTGGACTCTCGAGAATGCCATTTTTTCCCTAAAAAGTGCTTCCCACATTAATCATAAAAACTATCCATGTCATCAAGAAGAGAAAAAATTCATGGAAATGAATATTTTGAAAAAGATTCGTACTGCACGATTAAATTCGACCACATAGTTCAACAAACTTAATGTTCCCTGTGTCTGCATAAAGTTTCCGCAAAATTTAACATATCTTTTTCGCGAAGTACATTTCTTAGTTGTCAATACACTTTTATATTGTTTTCTGAGTTACTGTTACTTTCTTACACAACCATTTATCAGTACGAAATACAAACAGTGCGAATTCAGTCTTGCGGAGATCGTAGTAAATATCATATGAATATATTTTACGAATAATCATCGCAAAAATTCAAAACATCTGTTCCTAAAATACTTTCAATGACAACGAACGTCGAAGTAAACTTAAGGTAGTACCTCTTGTAAACATTGAATAACCTTTTCCATGTAAGAAACTTGACAATCGTATGGTGGGAAAGGAAAATCAACATCCACGCCACGAATATGGAGTTGTACCATTTTAGAAAAAGTAATTAAAAAAACCCTCTAAGTACGAAATAAGTGCACAGTTGGCTGAAGAAACGACAAAATTCCCGCCATCTTTGACAAAGTTTTTCGAACAGCAGCCAAGCCTCCTGTCCTTGACTCCAGACGCCTGGGTAAGTAAAGGCGAAGAATCATGTGACGTCATTAAGGGTGTTCTTTCAGTGGACAGGATCGGATTGAGCATCACAACTTTTCCCACGTTAAAACAACCTTGCAAAGTAAGTTTTTGCTGCACTATCAGACAATAAGTCTTTTATAAATGAATGCATGTTACGGTTAAACATGGAGCCTGAACAATTTAAGGACATCAGTGACAAACTCGGTTGCACTTCGTGCGCCTCTTATGGTTCTTGCCACATTTAATTTTATGAGTGCTTGACGGTTCCAAGAGCGACTGCAAAGGAGGCTATGAAATGCACAGCGACACAGAGTCTACTTGTTAAATTTTTTTAATTCAACCCTGCAGGAACAGGGAATATTGGTCATCATAATCATCCTAAACGACTGAGAACCAGTCTCTTTGGAGCAAGGTCAAGTCGTGCGTGTAAATGACCTTCTTCAGGGATTTACTTTTGTCAACCTGCGCTTCTTACTTCACCCTCAAAGTGAGCCTCGGGTCTCTGACAAAAAAGTAAATGAATAAGAAAAATGACTTTACCTCTCTTGGATCATGAGCACATACCATAGTTTACTTCTTTTTACTACTGCTGTAGCTTTTTAATTGCAAGGTAGTTTAGGTTTAATAGGAATTATCACATTCAGCAAAAACTAGAGATATGGTGCTGCCTAACGTTGGATGGATGTGAACTTCTCTGTTTCCAAAAGATATTTCTGAGATAGGTGTAAAACAACAGTTCAGCATCGTTACTGATGATACTCAGTGCATTTCTTTTAGTCTACATGGTTACTATCTAGATTCATTGTCCTTTTAAGTTCCTTAGGTCACTCCCTCTCAGAGAAAGACTTCTTTAATTGAATGGAAATCCATACGAGATAATCAGCAAACAGTGATACACAGAAGGAGTAGAGTATCATTTTCTCTAAGGTCACTGTCCAAAGTGAGAATGAAATAAAAGCCACAATAGAGCAAAAGGAACATCTGTGAAAAAGCTATACAACTCCTCCTTACTAGCCTCCTACTTTCAGAGGCATGCAACCAGTTATATGTTTTCTTGTTTGATAAATATACTTCTATGGAGAACTTTTCAGTGAAAAGGAGAGTATTATTTATGATTTCTAATAGGATACATGAAAAAAGTACTCAGTTCTGATTGGTTAAGATAAATGCAGTAATCAGGTAATTCAATGCAGAAGAGGTTTAATGCACTTGATGCATGCGTTTTGCATCTGCATAATTATGATAAGCTATCTTGTATTTTTTCATGTATATTATTATGTAATCGCATGATTTTGAGCATAATTTGGAAGAAATAAGCACAAGTAAAGTTTTTCAAAGACCACAAGTTAGTTTGTTAGTATTCGTGAAAATTTACTCATGCTTATTTATTCCAAATTGCACTCAAAATCATGTGATTACCAATGTAAATGGGTTAGGCAATATTTTGTCAATATTATGAGTTCAAGAAACAATTCTTTCTTAGCAAAATCATGTTTGAATAACCAAAAATCTCTCAATTTTGAAAGATCAACCAGCTCTTGCAAGAGACCGCCAAAGAATGTCTCAATAGTTTACACCCAATTTGTGGAGAAATGTTCAAAATTTATTCGCAAACTAATTTACTTTAATTGTAACATTTGAATCCTTGGATGGAAATCCTTATTGATAAACACAACAATATACAATAATATTTAAAGTTTGTTTTCATTAACTATTATCATTAAGTTTAAAGCGAAGTATCAAATTTAACAAGACAACATGAAAAACTTTTGAAAACTACAGCCTTGTAACCATGTTTTCAGGGAAGGATATTAGATAGGGTTTGTGCGACAGGTGATGGTCATGACTCAATCTCTGTTTATTAACCCTGAGCTTTCTCAGCTCTCTGTGTCTTAACTTGGTGGTAAACCTCCTCTACATGCTTGTCATGTGCCTCCAATCTTTCTTGTAAAGCTCTGAGCAGTGCATTGCGTTTCTCCTCTGATTGTTCCAGTTTCTGCTGTAACTTCTGTTTGCAAACTTTGCTTTGTTCCTGAACAAGAGCATCTACAAGTTGCCGTGCTTGCTCAATCTTCTGAGACTTAAACTGCAGTCTCTCCTGCAGTGAGCGGATCAAAGCTTCTCGCTTCTCTGTAGTTGTTTCCATCTTCTGCTGCAAGTTAACCTCAGCTATTTTGGATTGCTTCTCAATACTCTCTTGTAAAGAAGCCAACACTTCTTGAATGCGCTTTTCATGAGCTTGCCAACGTTCCATCTGAGCTTTGCGGTGTAACTCAAGGTTTTCCTTGCTTACAGCTTCTTTTTGTTGAATCTTCTCTTCTGCTTTTTTAGAAAATGATGCAATGATCTCTCGCAGGTTTGCTTGCACTTCTTTGATGTGTTGTTCTTTTGCGTGAAGGCGGCTGTACAACGCCTTAATCTGGGCTTCCTTGTTTTCAGAATGTGTACACATCTTTTGTTTGAGCTTTTCTTCTGCCATTCTACTTTTCTCTGCAACTGTCAACAGTTTATTCTGCTGAACTTGAACAACGTGTTCACTTCTGCTAGCAGCTTTGGCCAAAACTTCACCTTCAATACTCTGTTGTAGAGATGAGATAAACAGATGCTGAATGTGGCTTTTAAGTTGCCTCACAACCTTCTATTACATGCAAAATCATTTGAGTTCTTTAAATTTTTTTGGCAGATAAAAAGAGGGCCCTTTTATCACTTAGTCCTTTGATCTCCTCTGAGGTGCCAGGGATGAAAGACATAACTTAATTTGGTTGTAGGAGCTAAGCAGCACATAAATAACTACAGATGAACCTAAATTAATTAAAGAGTGATGTAATCTTGTTAAAATCCGAAAAAAAAAAAACACTTCAACCCGTCGTTCAACCCTTCAGTGTTGTAAATATGTTAGAAATATGTCCCTTTTATTTAAAAATTTTCAATGTTTGCCAACTGATCATGAACAATTCCGGTGAGAGCAGATGGATGAAAGCTGAAATAAGCGTATTACTTTAATTTCTACTGGTACCTGGGTTTTTTTCCTCTAAAATAGGTAATCTTAAGGAACTCTAACCTTTCTTCGTTTTTCGGCTGCTAGCTGCTTTTCTACCAGCAGCTGTATGTTAAAACTTTCTTTTCCTTTCAATGGAGTTAATCGCGGCTTCCTTGCATTCTCCACTTTGGGACTCAACATGACTTCGAAAGCTACGCTGGTCCCAGTACAATTGCCTGCTTGTTCGCAGAATAACATAAATGAATTAAGAGTATGGAACAGAACATAAAGCCCACCGATAACCGATTACAACATTCTTCCACATTTAAAGATCTTAGAAACTCTGGCTCACCTTGAGATACTACAGACGCCATTTCACAGATTCAAATTGAACTGGCGGTAACTTTTTTAAATGTGATGCTATTACTTCAAGTAAAACTGCGCTTCTTCAACACGATAACAAAAAACAGAGTCTTTCCAGTAAACGAACAACAGCTAGCTTCTAGTTCCTCAAGTCTCATAAATGGCACAACCAACGTACGATCCAACTGACAAATGTAAAGGGCCTGGTCGCGTGTTTCAAATTCCTCCCATTTTCACGTGATTTTGTAGTAGTGATTTGATTGGCCAAAATGTCTTTCGCAAAGCGCGAAACTACACCTGTGTGACTGTGTGGTCTGTAAGTAGAATGGACTGCCTCTTTCTGCTTACATATGGTTATTGTCTTGAAACAATTTATTTTTTTGTTTGGCTTTGTGTTTTGTTGTTGTTGTTCCCTTTATTTATTTATAATTCTGTTGACAGAAAAGAATTAAGATTATATATGCACGTTCTGATGAGTCAACTACTTGTATTTTTTTGGATTGGTAAAGCCACGGAAAACTTGAACCTTGTTACACTTTGACAAGTCTTATAACCTAGCATTTAATAACTGGCCTCAAGGGAAACAGCGAGTTTTGTTTCCCCGAAACCTTTAGTGCCCTTCTCCTCCAATCGGTAAAAGTCCTTTAATTGGGTTGGGAGGTATGACAATAAATATTGTTTGTTTTATTTATAGCTTGAATAGAAACACGGAATATGGCAGCTGGGTTGCGATTTCTTCCTAAGCCTTGGCGCTTCCTTCATCAGTTGAACACTGAATTCAGCCGCCTTCCGAGAACTGCTATCCCAGCATGCAGGCTGAGTAGTACAACCTCTAAAACTCTCCTAGGTGAAGAAGCCCAAGCCGAAAATTGGCGACGCCGAGTTGATCTAGCAGCTTCTTATCGCATCTTAGAGAAGTACAACTTACATGAAGGGGTGTGTAATCATTTGAGTATGATGGCTCCTGCGGCAAATGGAGACGGTGAGGTGATGTTAGTCATTCCATATGGACTGCACTGGAGCGAGGTATCTAATCTTTTACTATCCTTTATGAATGAAGAATCTTCTTCATTGCACTCCTGCTTTTGGCATACTGTTCTGAAGGAGATATACGATACACGCATACCAGGAGTGCCCCTATAATAAAATTTAGAAGCACATTCTGTGTTCAGACGAGTTTAAGGCAAAGGCAAAATCGGCCTGGGAGATTGAGATATTTCGGGATCGGCTTGGTGCCACGCTAATTGTGACAATGGTATTTTTTATTCTGATTCATAGTTGTTTGTTTTAAAGGTTAAAGCCTCTTCATTTGTTGGCTTAAATGTCAAGCGTGAAGTGGTCGAGGGAGAAGGTGAAGCAGACATAGCTGCCTCTACAATTCACATGGGAGTTCATAGAGCTCGACCAGATGCTGTTTGTGCCTTCCACGTACATCCACCATACTGCACGGCTTTAGGTATCTTTCCAAATTGTCATCGATTTTTCTTAATATCGTTGGGACGAGGATTCCCCCGCGTAGTCGAAATTTTGCTTGATCGTATTTTAATCGTTTTAGCCGATGATTTTTGTTTCTTTTTAGGAACCTTAAAAAATCCCGAGCTTGGAATGCACAGTCAAAACGCCTGTATGTTTTACAACCAAATTGCTTACGATCGAGTGTACAGTGGGCCAAGTGTAGATGAGGAAGAGGGCATGCGCACAGCAAAACAGCTTGGGGACAAGTCGGTACTGTTTATGTGTAATCACGGGGTACTAGTGGTGGCTCCTAATGCTGCAAGAGCTATGGATCATACTTATTATCTAGAGCGTGCCTGCATGAACCAGGTTAGATTTGCCGAATTATTATGAATTATTCCTGCTATTACAAAAGTAGGGATCCATGATTTATTCTCTCGCTGGCACCATATGTGCAAGGACATGAGGACTATACAGGTGATGAATTCCCAAGTATTATCATTTGAATCAGTCTGCCTATTCACAGTGCGAGGTCCGAGACAATAGCGTTCTAATTATTTAATGAACTAAAATCTATGACAACAAGCTATGATTAATTAAACTTCGGAAGTCACCCCTAAGTAAGGGAACTTTTAGCAACATAGAGTAAGAAATTTTGTAGGTGAGCACAACGCATTCGTTGGGTGACGGCCTCATCAAATTTGTGCGCACCAAGCTAAAGTAAAAGGAACCTTTCCGAGAGATTGATGGAAACTTTAACAAGAGTTTCTTTCTTTCCTTAGGTCCTGGCAATGTCGACTGGACAAGAATTGTTTGAAATACCGGACGAAGTAGCCAAGTTTGCATATGAACAAATTGACGGACCAGGAATAAGACAAAAATATTGCGATGCTCATTTTGAAGGCATGAAAAGAATTCTCTCCAAGGAGTGTCCCGACTTCATGGAATAAGCAGTCATGGGCCATGAAGTTCATCTCCCTTATGGGAGAAATTGACTTGGTTGGCTTTTTTTTTTTCATAAACTATCAGTGACTGTTTGCAGTATCTTACAAAAACTTAGCCAGAGTGTTGAACGGTTTTCCTCATGTAGTAAACTTCAAAACGATCCTGTTTTGTCGTTGTTGTTTGAGGTTTTGTGTTTTTACTTCGACATATATTCACATAAAGTATTGAATTGCTCAACAAACGTACAGCTAAAACAGCGTATCAGCTAAATGTGTATACCTTTTTTTCCAGTGATGGTCCGAGAACTTCTACATTTTGCCCTGAAAATAGCGCAGATTATACTTTAGTAGAGCTTTTTTGTATTGATGGAAGAGAATGTGAATCTAATGTCGGGTTATAGATAAGACATCAAATAACTTAGAAGTTGCAAATAAAAGATATTTTGTTGTACCTGGCGAGCTTAATAGCCCACACTTTCGAAGCTTTACCATGACGCGGCTAGCGAGCTGTTTCTGCTTTTAACCCCAAGATGAGTTGAAAAAAGATTGAACAATTGAAAGAAAAAGAATTCATACATATATATTTTTATATATACATAACAGGCTAGCCTACGTGTAGCCGTACCCTTCCCCCGCCAAGGTGAAACGGTGGCGAGGCATCGCTACCGTTTCACTTTTGGGGGGAGGGTATGGCTACACGTAGGCTAATAAAAGGCGCACTAAGAAGGAGGAAAACGCGTCTCCTTCCTTCCTCCTGCAGAAGATCCCAAGCTCTTCGCACTCGTAACTGGTCCTTCGCGAAGTTACTCGCGTTTTGCGCTTATGTACCAGACAGGAAAGCAGCTAATTGGTACTGTGGGCGCCTCAACTCAAGGTAGTCTAACCACCGGAGCCCAGATGATCGGCGGGTTCGTAACCGGTAATAATACAGTATACTTTTAAATATTGATAGACAAATTTTGGTACCTTCGCTAAATTTCTCGAGTCCCAAGTACTGATGATATAAATAAGATAAGTACTCTTTAGCAAAGCGGTATCAAGATTATTCACTCACAAAGGAAGAACGCATTGAAAGAAGTTAGTGACTGAATTTTCATTCGTTCTTTCACATTTCACTGAATTAAAGATGGTCAAATCAGATGGTAGAACGAAGTCAGCAACTGGTATTTGCTGAATAACACATCACTATTGACTGGTATGGTGCATAAGATATTAACCATGACAGTTCCATTTTCCACTTGCTGTTTTTTTCATGAACTTAAGTAACTGAGATTCTTTTATGTCACACAAGTTAGCTGTGAATGTTTCTTGTTAGAGGATCTTATACGTGTCCCGTGACTTGTGGAAAAATTCAATTTAAAGGTACCCGTGGTGGCCTTTTCTATATATTCATTAAGATAACTGAGGCAGATATAGAGTTGTTCATAGCTCATAACATATTTGCACAAAAGTTTTTTGGTTAAGTTCAATTTAGCCGCCGAACTCGGCGATCTTTTTACCATGTAATAAACAAAGAAGTATTATCCGTAGCAGGAATCTTCTGCTCAGGGAGGAACATTTTCCCGAATTGAAAATAAATTCAATTAGTAACAACATTGAGTAGGAGGTCTATGACGTCATAAACTGAGAGTAGAATTCTCGCTATTGGAGTACTTCAGTTGCGTAGATTTAGATGCTTACCACAAAAAGTTCACGAACACATTTTAGGGAGAGTCAGAGAGATGAAAGCTTGATCATGCCTTCTATGCACGTGAACGACATAGAGCTTTAATGATCGCCATGCTGACATGTGATCACCCCGTGTAAAGCTATTCACTAAACGGTCATTCTACACGAGGATCGTGTTCTAAAATTGAACACAGAAAGAAACCTAATGGTTCCTTTTTGTTGCTCTGAAATGGAATTCTGCAACTAAAACATGAATCAAGATTTGGTACGCCTTATTGCAGCTGATATCACAAAATACATAATTTAAAAATGTTTTGGTTTTGCTCTATTGAACACTTCTGATAACCTTTAGATCGATCAATATTCTCAATTTTGTGATGTCGGGTTTGTCACGGGCTGGTAAGCTGAAGTGAATCTACGCATTTTCCGTAAAAACTGCGTCATCACCCTAAAAGGATACCTCTAATTAAATGTCTTACTCGGCATTCTACGCGTTATTCACACGGGAAATATTGGGGCACACAGGATGGCTGACAGTCCTGCGATGTACAAATTACATAACGATGAAATGAGTCCAAAATAGATGACATGACATCAGTACGGTCTCCAATGGGTGCCATAGCAACTATTTATCGTAAACCATTTACGAAAACCAATCAGAACAAAGAATCGATTGAGTTCTGTTTTAAACCACAATGCAAGCTTGGTATTGTTTCATAGTTGAGCGAAATTCATCGTGGGTCCCTCTGTTCTCCGTGACGAAGTTTTGAATCATGAGTGCTGAAATAGATACGCACATAACGAAGAAGTATGAAATCAAGAAACGTTTGGGAAAAGGAGTAAGTAACTGGCTTTTATCGTTGAGATTTGGCGCAATGCGCGCCATGTTTCACCGCAAGTTATCGATTTGCCGGCGAGTTCGCTCTTACTAAGTTTCACGATGTTTGTAGGCTTATGGAATCGTCTGGAAAGCTATCGATCGACGAACGGGAGAAGTCGTTGCCGTCAAAAAGATTTTTGACGCTTTTAGAAACCAAACTGACGCTCAGGTATGTGTTGTACATAAATTTTGCCGCGTGATGTACTTTGGACGCTATTTCTATGAAATATTTGGATCTGTAAAGAAGAGTACTCTCCTGTATGAACCACTCGAAATTACGGAATTGTAATTATTACTCATCATTGTGTTATACTTTGTATTACAGAGAACCTTTCGTGAGATTTGTTTCCTTCAGGTATGTAATTTAAATAACTAGTGAAAATTTTTCGTAGAGGAAGTTATATTTTTGTACCGCTGTAGTCTTTCATTTTCTGCGCGAAATGTTGATTTCCGTGTCCTGTGTTTATTCCAGGAATTTGGAGATCACGACAACATCATCAAACTGCTAAACGTAATAAAAGCAGATAATGATAAAGACATCTACCTGGTTTTTGAATATATGGGTAAGTTAATTTTTGAATTAATTGTGAGTTTTGAATCCCAATCATAGAATTTGTTCATTCAACTTTAGGGTTTTAGTTGAAACCATGATTTTGTGATACATACATAATTTTTATGAACCGACATTAAGTTGAGCCTTGGAATATTCCAGTTCATATTGCTTAAAATCAGACATTTCGTTCAGGGCCAATAGCCGACTCGTTTAGCTTATGCTAAAATGGGATCGCGTCTGTTTCCTATCGTGTTTTGGTAATTTGCATGTTCGGCCTCCTTCGATTATATTGAGTAATTTCCTTCGCTCTAGTTCTCTTAGTTTAGGTGAGCATGCCGAGTATCTTAGTTTCAGAGCCGATATTCGAGGAAGCTAGTGTAATTCTATGGCCTAACACTAAATAACACACAACTTTCTACGTGAAAAGAATGAAATTTGTTCACCAACGATGAAGCATCGTGCTTTTTTATTAATCATAACATTCGGTAATCCGTGCAATTCATTATGCTCTTGAATTCGTGACAGATAAAGAAGAAAAGCAAATCAACAATATGGTATTTTGAGGGAATGTCTGGTTTCTGACATTTTCAATATTATGTATTTTGGTGTGTTATTTATTCATATTTCTAGAACTTGTGTATTGTGATTTGAACGTTTAATATTCATAATTCTTAAGGGGTTTGGATTAACTCATCCCTTTGGAAATTGTACAAGAACTTGTGGCTGCATGAGTGCTTCAGTGCACAAGTGTGATTGGACTAGATCTATTTTCAGCTTGCAAGTCAATAATTTTAACATTAATTTCTCTAAGTTTTAAGAGTACTCCACCTAAAGAGCAAGGGTAATACAAGTTTATGAACTTTCTTTCAGTTGTCAAACTTTCAAGCACAGTTCGATTTGGATTGCAAATTTTCTTCATCTATTATTATGATTTTTAAGTGCATGGACATGAAATACTTGTATGATGAACGATCCTAAAGACAGAACCATTTGTAACCTTTTTCTCTATTTTAGTCCCTAATAGCTTTTCAAATTGTCATTTTTGCATTCCATTTCACAGCTTTGTGGTCAAATCCTAGTGTTAGCACCTGTAAGCCTTATGGTACATCACTTACAACTATGAAAGGATGTAGGAATTTTGACCAGTGATTTACATCATCAGTTGAAATAGTTAACACATTTATATCAAAATTAGGAATTAGCTGTGTTTTTTACACTTTTGATTTTACTGACAGATACTGATCTTCATAATGTAATAAAGAAAGGAAACATTCTTAAAGATATACACAAAAGATATATTATGTATCAGGTAAGGTACTTCAGTTTAATAAATTAGTATAAAGTTGATTACAGGTGGAAAACAGTTGTAACTTCTCCTGAAGAAGACACTAAGGAATCATAATATTGTATCATTTAAATTTCTATGCATTTCAATTCTTAATATTAAGCGGGAAATTGTACCTGTCAGAGTTGGGTTTATTAACTTGCCTCATACATTTATTGAAGACCATTATGGCAATTATTTTGAAGAGTAGAACTCTTGCATAAATCTAAGTGCTCTAAATGGCTGAAGATCTTTGAAGAACTTTTCCCAGAAGCTTTTAATTAACTTAATTTATTGTCAAAGGAAGGCATCAAGCGTGATGTGCTTTTCTCGCCAATGATCAATATTGTTTGAGAGTTTTCTGTATTGTTCAATGGTCATAAGACAAAATTCTCATTTTAAAATCTACTCTGAATTTTTTGTGCTTTCATTCTCTGGATACAAACATTATTTTGTACTCACAAAACTTTGAAAATCATCTTGAAGGTTAAATTTAAAATCTTGATGTATAGTTGGAAATTATCATCTCATTATATGAGGGGCTGTTTAACATCAGTGGACATTATATTTATCATAACGTACTAGTCATTTTTAAGATGAACAAATGTGCCTTCACATGTAAGAATTTATGGATTGCTGATCATGTTTTATTCTGTTCTTGGCAAGTTGTAACATCTTTGGAATGTTTTGGATGGTGGTATTATTCGCCCCTTTAATGGTAATTAGTTCCTTCTGTGACATCAGGAGGGAGAACCCTCCATTTTATCAGCAGTATATTGGATATATGGTTTGTAATATTGTGATTATTTGTGCTGCAGATATTTAGGGCAGTTATGTACCTACACTCAGGAAATGTCATACACAGAGATCAAAAGGTATGATAATAATTCATAGTACATCTTCCTAATTTTCATATTTGTTCTGCAAAGCTGAGTGGTATTCAAAAGATTTTTTTGGCTTAACATGCAGTGGAAAGTATGCTGAAAAATTATAGTATAACATGTAACTTTTCAAAATGTAATTCATCATCCAGCAAATAGGGATTATAGTAGGGAGAGGTTGTTGATGGAATACCAAATTCTCTTCATATATATATATATATATATATATATATGTATGGAGATGTATGGCAGCTAGAAGAGAGAAACTGTAATCAGACTGTGGAAGTTGATGGGATTAAAATTATCTCAGGATTTGTTTAAAAAGGCTTGGCAAATGAGTCGAAAAGCAAGTTTACAAGGTATTCTTAATTTTCTTTCAGCCAAGTAATGTCCTCCTGGATTCAGAGTGTTTTGTTAAGGTAAGTCATAAATTTTTATCAAATGTTGCAAGATTTCCAGCTAGAATGGTAGGAATAAACTATGATTTATGATGTACTCCTTCTTTAGCACATTCATTCACATTCATTCTAATATACAGATGTAGTGCTGTTGTTGTTTTATTGTGTTTATATACTCAAAGAATATTTTACTGTAACATGCCAGGTTTGTTGAATGAAAATAGCAAGGATGAAAAATACTCATTTTAGGCAGGATTCATAGTATTTCTATTTACCTGATTGATTAAATTGCACGTTGCAGATGTGTGACTTTGGTCTAGCTAGATCAGTTACCAGTATGACGCAAGAAGCTGGTGATCCAAGTTTAACAGATTATGTGGCAACACGCTGGTACAGAGCTCCTGAAATTCTGCTAGCATCACCAAGGTAAAGCAAGAGAATCTCTTCATCTTTAATAAGTTCAAGAGCTTTAACTTCATATTTCTAAACGTGTCTGACATAGTGTTAACTACAATCATTGTAAAAATTATTTTATCATTTCTTCCTCTCAGGTATACAAAGGGTGTAGATATGTGGTCTCTAGGATGTATTTTAGGAGAGATGCTTTTAGGTAAGTTCAAAATCTGTCACTTGAAGAACTTACTTGATGCTCACCTCTCTCCTCTCATTGTCATTTTTTCAGCTGAATTTTTTTCTTCGTTCATAATCCAAAAGCTTTAGTGTGGCATTCAAATTATCACAGTCAGTCAATTGTATGTGAAATACTGGTAATTCAGTTTAAGGCTTGGCTTCCATTCAGTTAAGAGTATCTGAACCACCCAATTGGAGTAGAGGGAAATTCTAACTTGTATTTGTTTTTGTAAAAACTGAAGAAGAAATCATCTTTACCCGTACTGTATTTTGCATTTTTTATTAACAATTGTACTATGGTTGCAGGGAAACCAATATTTCCAGGAACATCAACTTTAGATCAAATAGAGAAAATTATGACAATAATCCCAACACCATCTAGACAAGGTAATGTTGCTGTTGGCAAAATCCCTCATTTCTGTGATAGTGTGAAATTGCAGTTTGTTGTCAGTGGTAGCTAATGTTACACCCATGGTTTTAACTCCTTTGCTAAGGAGGAAATTAATTTTTTGTCATTTTCTTCTGAAAATTACTTGCTGTTACAGCTGTATTAACATGATCTTTCTTCTGTGTATCATAGATATTGACAGCATCAAGTCACAATACAGTTCATCAGTGTTAGACAGAATGACCTGCAAACCTAAGAAAAGTCTTGAAGAAATTCTTCCAAATGCACCACCAGATGGAATTGATCTGTTGAAAAAACTACTTCAGTTTAACCCTGACAAGCGACTGACAGCAGAGCAGGCTTTAAGTCATCCATATGTAGCAAGATTTCACAACCCTGAAGAAGAACCATCAATGGACTATGATGTGATTCCTGCCCTGAATGACGATGTTCAGTTAAGCGTGGAGGAGTATCGTGTTAAACTTTATGAGGTTGGTTTGAGGCTTAATTTCAGCTTGAGTGTCACGAAAGAGTCTAGTTTTGAGGCGGGATTGTTTAAAAAGTGACTGTAGTTATTTTAATAGCTTTGGACTTTTCAGTTGAAATTTTTTGTGGTAAATTTTGTGACACATCTTAGATGGTATACTCATTATTAACCTCTCTTTATTGTTTTTTTGGCAGAGTATCATTCAGAAGAAAACCACCATCAGAAGAAAAAGAAGGGAGATTTTTCTTCAGGATCAGAAGCAGAAACATGCACAGGCTGCTGAGCAAGCAAGGCAGCAGGAGAGGGAGTCTCAGCCCCTCAAACAAGTTGAAAACTACACTCATACTTCAAGCATCACTCAAGCACACCAACCCACACACAGCTCACCAGTCAAATCACCTGTTCATAGGAGTGAGGGAGTGACTGTAGCTTTTGGAAGAACTACCAAGATACAGCACCAAAGATCACCTTCTGCTGGAAAGAGCATGGTGAGAAGGCACAGCTTAGAAAATGACAGTGTAAGCACAGTTCAGTTGTCTAGTCAGCTTTTACTCTTTCCTTAACCTTCATCTCTCTTAATTATTTTGTATACCTTCAAATCACAGAAGATTTGTTTCCTGTCCTTACAGGTTATGTCCCCACCAAGGCAAAACCCAGCAGGACGTGCAAGGCCCATATCTGCACAAGTGAAGCCCAAGAACACCATAATCACACGTAGTAATAGTGCTGACAAACTTCTACAAGTGACAAGTGCTCGCCTCGTAAGTTTTCAACTGATCTTACTCCTTATTCTCAAATCTAATTACCTTGCATGCTAGTCTTGAGAACATATTTTGCTATTTAACACAGTGTCCTGTATAAAGTATTTTACTTGTATCACTTGTTCACTTGAAGATAATGTAGTCCCATCTGTTCATTCATTGAGTGAGTTGAAGGGTTAGATTAATCAAAGCAGGAGTTGTTGTAAGAATGAGGCTATTCCCTTCTTTCTGTTTTATTTGCTTGTTTTCATTTTTACCTCTTATTTTTTAATTTGCGATATATATTAGTTTTCCAGTCTTCTTCCTCATTAGTTACCCATATTGGTATGGATAGGAACTTGATCTTGTTGCACTCTCTAATGGTCCTTTAACCTACTGTATATGTGTAACTTGAATTTCATAAGTAACCTCCTTGTTTGGTTCTTAGGTTCCAGCTCAAAGACCTCCTTCAGCTAAAGCAATACACAGACCAGCCAGGAAACCTGTCCCCAATCCTAATCTGAGTCGATCCCCTTTTGAAAGTTATGCACAAACACATGGAACAATATCAAAAAGTTCACTAAAATCTCTACAATCCAGAGTTTGGTAAATTTATTATCTATAGGCTCTTTTATAATTGAACCGTTTTATTGCTTGAAATTTCTCAATTGCTTTCCTGAGGTTATCCACAGGGAACTTTGTACTTAATTAATTTATTCAGTATGTAAGTGTAATAAAGATATAAATCAATTTATGCAGACTTTGAATTTTGCTTAGCTTCTTTTTGCCACAGTTTTATATGTTGGGAAAGTACTACTTTAACAATTTTTATGTAAAAATTATTGAGTTAGTCAAATTGTAAATAAATTATATCAGCAGCCAAATGATTGTAAAAATTATTGTAAATCTCTTAATTACCTGCTAAATTGAAAAGTGATCACATCAAAGCATTTTTTCTTATCAGCAGTTCAGAGTATTATTTTGCCATATGAAGTACAATTAAAGGAAACATCTTTTCCACCCAATATTTAAATTTCGAGTTTATTTGCAAGATTTTGTAGATGATAGTATTGAAAATTGAGTTAGGAAACTGTGATATTTCAAAGAACAATTGTTGTTTTGAGAAGTATTTCTATAATATGAAGCTTACATGTCAGGGTAAATTAAGGCTACAACTCAGAAACAAATGCTCATACTAAGGAAGAGTTCAATAAACTGTCATTCTCTCTACATCTTGATTCTCTTTACATTATATTGACCACAACTGAATTCAGCTAATTTCCTTGAAATTTCTGTGAATAGTAAGTTATATTTTGGAAGAGGAAATATGGTAGATTTGTACATATTGCTTCTGTTGCATATTTTTGTCTCTTGTATAACTATGGAAAAAGTTGAGGATTTATTGTCAACTGTGGATTTGTCAAAAATAAACTTTCAAAGCCTAGTGTTGCCTACCAAGTAGTTTGTCAATTGATTCTTGACTCCACCTGCTAAAAATTGCAGGAAGAGAAATAAGTTTCATGTCGGTAATGAATTACAGTACTCATCACCAAAGTAATTTTCCTGCCTGCACTAAAAAGTTCGAGATACCCCCAAAAAAGGTCTGGGAATGACCCTGGAGTTCCTATGATCAATATAACAACTAATTAGGTTCCAAGAGGGGTTTTTCCAGAACAATCTGTCGTGTCTTGTAGAGAGTACAAAATGCTGTTGTATGCAATTGTCTGAGTCTGCCTCTGAGTTTGAGGGCTGAGAAAGTAGTTGTGAATATAGAAATGATAATTCATTTTCTGTACAAAAGTGACCAATGTTACCTGGGCCCTGAAAAGCTGTGCTCCCAAGCTTAGTATCAATAATTGTTCTATTATAGTATTCTGTACCTCAAAACATTCCCTGAATAGAGGATATCAGCCTACTCTGCTGAATGTTGTTGAGACAAAAAGTAGATGGAAGAATTTTGTGAACCCAAATCATATCAATACAAAATCAAACGGCAAAATTACAGAAGCATCTTTTATTGTCTTAAGGCACTAAATTAATCACGTTTGCTCCTACACAGAAACAAGAGTTCTGAGCGTAGTAACGTACAAACATACGAGAGGTATAATGAACTTCATCAACAGGAAACACCGACATTTTGCATGTAAAGATCTCAAACAGATTGTAAACAGAAAACTGTGGAGGTTTATGAAAAGAAGGAGGAAAAATTTCATCTGCCAAACTGCTCAATTCAACACTGATAACTCGCAGGATTTAAACCTTAGTGTAGGATAGACTGCATTTCTGGAGTCCCCAGACTGCTTTGGACAACTTTAAAAATCTCTCCAGTCTTTCAAGAGACACTGACCGTAGTGCACTAGATAATAATGTGACTGACTAAAACTTCCCGTAAAATTGAAAAAGAGAGAGAAAAATGGAAGCTTTTGATGTCCTCAACTGGCTTTTGACAACAAAATTCTTCAAGCTAAAGACTTGATCACTTAATTTTTTCGCTCTTTGAGCAGTTTGCTCATTAAGTACTTTTCATCGTCAGTACCCTTTTTAAAATTTCCCGTTATTTAGATGGGCTATTAAGATTACTTAAGTAAAGTTTTACAACGCTAATTAGAAAAATCTTTAAAAATCCTAAAACCTAAATTCCCAAAAACTTTCTTTACAGCCACCTAAACAGTCATTTTAAGCTTAGCTATGAATAATCTTTCTTTCTTTTGTCTATTTTGCTGCACTGCTAAGTTTTGAGAATTGTTTCAACTTCTTTGCTGGAACACAATCTCGAAGGGGTTTCAGAACAGTTTGTGCACTTTTCAAAATAAGCCAATTTTTTAAGTCCATCATTTGAGATAAATGTTTATCTTCTCCATCCTTAAGTGTGCTCATTCCGTTTTGGTTTTTCTACCCTTTCACGTGTTTGTCCATCTGAGCAAAAAATTACTTTCACGTTTATTTGCATGAAACGAAATTTGGTGTCGTGTCACAACACTTGATAAGACCCCTTGTATATTTAGAGCTTCGCACTATCTCTTATTCTTTTGAAAAGAAAACCTCACTGTCTTCTTTCACTCTTAATAAAGACGGATCTTGGAAAAAGGGAGTTTAAAATGTCACAACGGTAAGGCCTGGGAAAATGTTGATTGAAATAAATATTTAATTTCTCCTGAGAATTTTGAGAGTAGCTTGCCTGCTACGACGTCGTCAGACCTTCCATTCAGAATAGCATGTGAATGTAGGGTTGAGTTTAAAGGAAAAACGTGAATACTTTACTGTCGGAGTTCCCATTCTCAGAGTGCGCAAAATTTGGCGATTTAACGCTGTTACCTTGGAGAGAAGGACTTGAAAATGTATAACGTTTTAAGACGCAGGGTCAAAGTTATTGTTCTGCTCATTAAACCTTTCGTTTTGCTACGTTCTCGTTGCAGTCATGGTTTTCTTTAAACTCCTTACTGAGAGTTAATGAAGAAATCTACAGCGGCTCTCATTCGTATCAACGTTAAATCAAGTCTTCTGTGCATTTTTATAAAATACACAGGGCTTTAAGTAGATTACGTAAGAACATTCCAAATGGGAAAAAACAATTAGTTTTCATTCAATTTCCCATAATACTCAGACCCCCTTCCCGGAAAAAATTAATGTCGCACATTGACACAGAAGAATGTCATCGAAAAAAGTAATTCAACGAGCTTAAAGCACACAAACAAATAATGGGTACGCTAATATTATTCCTTTCATAATTTGTGTGATACCAGGGGAATTTAAAAATAAAATTTCTATGTCGATATATTTACAGCATTTTTGATAATTTACATTTGCGTAAGAGTTCATCCCATAAAAGTTTCAATAGAAAAATTGTCTTTAAATTAGTTTTGTTCCTGTGCAGAATATTTTTTAGGGTTTTACTGTAAGATGCAAAGTTTTTTCACGTCGTTTTCATATTCCTCGTCGTCACTTGCAGAATCTGGTGTTTGGCCACTGAAGTTAGGAAGAAACGCTCGTTCGTCCATGCCGTCTTGCTGATAGAACAGCATGTAGGGTGAGTCTTTTTGTAGCTTGGTGCTGTCACACTCCTGGAAAAACAGATAACTATCTCATTGGTCATGGTAAAAACAAGGAAGTCGATTTTTCTGAATTCACACACGTTCACTAATTTTTCATTTGCGTGCCTCTCACACTCTCAAATATCTTTCCACCTTTTGAGGCAACAGAAAGCAGAGAGCAAAAAATCCTAAAATTTTACGCACGCCACTTCTGTTTTCTTATTAGACTTATTCCTTTTTTCTGTTCTTTTTTCTTCCTCCACCCACCCCACCCCCACAAGTATTTATATATGAACTAACCTTGCAACTACTGTCGTTGTAGCAGTACCATCTTTTATTTGGGTTGTGCGCGTATGAAATGTAGTGCCCTCCTCCCAGTACTCCAGTGTGACACTGACGATTACAAAGCATATTGAATGTTCACGAGAGGCGTTCCAGACCAATATGACGTGTTTGACACGTACCAAACGTACTACCAATGGGTTTCTCATATAAACGTATTAAATATTTAAGATATACACTTGATTTGTTCATGTTGTATGTGGTCAGATTCAACACTTTTTTTTTTAAATAAAAGAAACCTTTTTATAAGAACGTTCAGGATGAGATTAACCAAACTTTTCAGAACATACTAAGAACCTACCCAGGCCGAAAGTCAGTTAAGAGGGACAAAGAAATATAAAACAGTGGTCCAACAGGAGAATTAATTCAAATACTTAGGGACATTTTTGATATTGATTTATCTGACTGGCTTGAGAGTACACGAATGAATAAGACATACCGACATAGCATAAATACGATAGGTTGGTGTCTCTGTCTGTGAACCTTCACTCCTTAACGCTGCCATGCTGCCACTTTCACTTCTATGTTCATCTACAGAATTTAGCTCCGTGACGTCAGAGATCGTAGCATTTGCGGTGGCATCGCCAACAGGCTTCATTTCCAGCATCCCCTCAGGGTGGACTTTAGCTGAGTTGAGGCTTATACATGAGGACTGGCGCGAAGGAGGTTTGCTGGTCTGGTTTAGTTCCACCTGACTGGAACTCAGTTCACCAGATGAACTCTGGGAAGACGACTCCTGTTGGGATATACTTCATTTAGTAATCCTTAGTTAAGTTTGTGTCACTTTTAAAAGGAAGTAAAGTGTATGACCTGAAAGAATATTAATGCAATAAAATATGGGTAAGATTCTACGGAAAGAGTTCAGAGCCCTCCTCAAAGTGTAAGCAGCTATGAAACGTGTGCACACCTTACTACCAGATGCAAAATTTGTTTCAAAGTTGTTGTTATAAGTATGAAAGATGGTCGGTGAAAGATTAGGATCACTTTTTATGTCATATCATTAAATACACCATATCAACAAAACAAAGTATGTGATCAAGACTGAGTGCAATTCTTTCAGTGTAACCTTAACATCATTTCCATGCTGACACCAGAACCACCTAGTACACAAGCGTGCAAAATAGCCTCACCTCGCTACCCTTGCGGGACGCTTCCTCTTTCTTGTCTCCAGGCTCCTCCTCGGGTTCAGGTTCCTCGCTGCTCTTGACATTTACTGTGGTGACTCCACCTGACTCTGAGTTCCCTGCACTATTTGGGCGAAAAAATCGCTTGGCCAGGAAGGCTGAAGGATCGAAACCTTCCATGGGAAACTGCACAACTTTATTAGACTTTACCCAGTGGCCATTTACGAACTGAAACCGCTTCAAGTGAATAATCTACAAAGCAAAAAGAAGACGGCACAAGTGGACAGTAGTTATAAGATACATGCGGCTAGGATCAGCTACTTCAACGCCTTCCAGCACATAAATAGAAAAGTACACCTCGTCCCAGAGTTAAAAAAAAAACACTTAAGCATTAAGTAGATTTTTTTCCTCAGCGAGTTAAAAAGCTTATTACCAACATCAGAATAATCTCACCAGTTTGGACTTCTGCACAAAAGAATCAGAGCAGAACTAAATTCTTACCAAAATTGGGGGGAGACTCCAGATATCAAGTTTCTTCACTGCTAATCTGTGTTTCTTACACTTGTTGCAATACCTAAGATTTAGATATAGTTTTGAATAAGTGGTTTTCATAGTAAGGGATGTGAACGAGGATGTGTTGTAGCATGCTTTACTAGTGAGAGTAACCACTGAAAGTAACTGGAGTTTTGACAAACTGATCAGAACTTCTTAGTACAGTCAAGTGGAGAGCTGATAGTTAGTCAAGTGTGTTAAATCTGATTCGTGATTGGTCATCCGTGATGGCATTGAGTGTTAGACTCAAGCAGTGTTGCTTACTTGTGATACTCACTTCAAGACGCCATGGTAAATTACTCCACATCACGCACAGCTTACTAAATCTTTGCTTCTTTCAGCCCAGGAATCCTTACAACAAAATAGCTATTTGTTGATGTTGTTGAGACAATTACTCTTAATTAAAATTTCAGAGACATGTACATACCACAGCTCATCTTCCCCTAACTCCTCTTCTTTAGTGAACGCTCTGAAACATTCATACAAGTCAATAGGTTCTGTCTGCAGTTTCCTGCTTCTCTCCACACTCTCGTGTTCTGTTGACACTTTTTCCTGTGAGCTCTGGTATCTGAGATGCAGTGTAGTTGGATCCCACTCTATAGCTATGTATGAACTGCTACTGCCAAACTCCTGCTCACTGCACTTAATGACACAGCCATGGCAGAACCTACAGTTAGCAAAAACACAAGATTGTTTAATCATACCTTACACACACAAGTTAGAGAATTAAAGAGGACGCATTGATTCTCTGTGACTCTGAGTTTCATGCCAAAGGGCTCGTCAGACAGAAAGTTGTCTGATGAGCGCTTAGGCGCGAAACTCAGAGTCACAGAGAATCGATGCATCCTATTTAATTCTTTAACTTACGTATACTTAGCTCTGCTACCACAGCATCGAGCACTTTATGCCAAGGTAGACTCTACGTTGTACACTGCCTACTTATTAACAAATTTTATTGTACTGGGAGGTGGTGGAAGCCTAGTGCTTTGCTCAGTGCCTTTCTTGCTTCCCAGGCACATTAAGCCGCACTAAAACATACAGTGGTACAATAGAGTAAGAGTGCTCACCTGTACCATGGACACCATGCACACATGAGGCCGTCCTTCTGAACTGCCCGCAGCTCAAACGGATAGTCCCCTGCATCACTATATACAAATACAAAAAGATCAAATTGGTTTTCTTAATTTAGAAAACACCTTATTGGATCAGGAGCGAACACAAACTTACCCATCCTTACAGTTTGTGTCTCCTGGTGCTGGTGGGCTTAGTAGCCTGGCCACTTGAGTCCAGACTCCCTCATACAACTCACACTGTCTTGTCTTAGATGAGCATGGTATGATGACAGGGATTCCAAACAAACCGGGGCGATTCTTTTGTGGTGAAAGGAAATATGCATCTAAACGAATCTAAATAAAGAAAAGAGTGCTTGAGCGGATTGAGGTGCACATGTCATTTTGTGCTTCAATTATATCACAATCTTTTGTTTCTTATGCTCATGACTAGCCTTTCACCCTAAGTTATTTTAAATTGTGGCCCTGAGCGCAGAGATAGAACAGTTTTAGTACACTCACATCACTCCAAAACGTTTTTCCAGCATTTAACTTCGTGAAAAATGGAAGCAGAATATCTACACAACCTTGCAAACAAATTGTGTCAAGTGAAATTTAATACTAGAAAAAAAACTGCAAATACTGATCAGCATATGATTCAGAAACAACAAACTAAACATATAACTTACTATTTTCCTGTGCATTGCAACAACAAATCCACTAAAACAATAGCCCAAATATGGTGCAGGTCCTGTTGTAGGTGTTGACGAAACACTTGAATGTCCAGAAGCAGAATTAACATTAACAGGTGAAGAAACAGTTTGGTGACTTGGAGAATTTTCCACACTTAAACTGATGCCAGAATCAGAATTAGTATTAAAATGTCCTTCAGCTAATTCTGTTGAAGATGATGATGAAGACGACTTCCTCAATGTTGCAGTCAAACTAAATCCCGCCCCAAACTTAGGGCTAATTTTCTTTCGCAGTTTTGGACTCAATCTCCTAATTGGACTAGAAGAACCTTTCTTCTTGTTCTTTTTTCCATCCGCAAACCAATCTTCTTGGACTCGAAGCCGGGTTTCGCTTTCCTCTGAGCCGTTTTCAGAATTTGTTCCAGAAGATTTGCTTCCTTTCCTCTCAGTTCTATCACTGTTTGAAACAGTGTTGAAAATGGTTCCATCTGTTTGACAGTTTGTATCCTTATTTGTAGTACAAAATTCTCGCTCCTCAGACTCTACAACAGATGAATTACATATAACCTTGTCCTCCTCTGAAGGATTGGGTCCCACACAATCATTTTCACAGGAGATTGTAGGAGGTGGAATCTCATAAGCATAGAGTATCCCAGCTAACGCTGTACGAATCTTCTGTACATCTGATGGGAGACTCTGTTGAGCAGGAAAAATTCGCTGTTATCTTGAACCTCAAGCTGAATCTACTCTTACTGTATCTACAAATTATTCTTTACACAGTTCAATAGTGGTCCCAGCCAAACTCAAACAAAGAATTACTTTTATCTTGAGTGTATAAAAAAGGAACCAGCTGCAATAGAATTTTGAAATCTTGAACTTGTTAAATTTTGGATGTCCAGGATAAAAGAAGAGCAAGATCCTGACACAAGTTAACTGCACCAAGCCTCTCCGAGGGGAAGGTTGTGTAAATACAGCCAAGATCCTCAAAAAGAAAAAAAATAGGTATTGTAGATTTCAACTGATGAAGAATTCTGCAAAGAGTAGCTTGAGTCTTCTCACTGGCAAGTTAAGTAGGAGGACACAAAAAGGTGCAATTTCTGGATCAACTGGAAAATAACCAAAGCAGTGTTTCATCCTACTTACCTTAACAGATGCCCCAAATATCTCAACCAGGAGAACCTGTGAGCACACCAGCCCACAGTATTTTGACAGTTCTCTTTTCACATCCTTGTATCTGTCATCATTATTCAACAGCAATCCATACTTTGTAGGGGTTTTCCCCTCCAGTCGAACAACTACACAATAGAAATTCAACAGAATTATCAGTCAGCTGCTGCCCAGCATCAGTAGTAGTGACATGTTAGAACGCTAGTTACTCTTGGAAATACAGGGTTTTGTACCATCCCAAATTTATAAACTATGAGCATCTTCATGACCTTTTCTAGGTTCTTTTTTAAGCTTTCCTTGACCAAAAATCAAGAGTCAACTTCACTCGACATAATTTGAAAAACCATTGATCACCCAAAGTATTTCTTGCTCTTCTGTTATCAGACAACTACATTTTATTATTTCCCATGACTTTTCCCTGCAAAAGCTGAAGTTTCACAAGTTATTTAAGTTACAGCACAAGCAGAAAACTTGGGAGCACACTAGTAAGGGGCCTTACTGGATCATATCTGCTCGTGCTGCAACACCTTTGACAGCCAATTGGAAGATTATTGGCAAACTTACCTATAACTTCAACATATATTGAGTTGTCCATAGGGAGAGGCAAGGAGAGGAAAGTGAATGGGTCAAACCTAACACTGACATAGCCACACTCCAAACACCTGACTTGAGACTTGAGCTGCAAATTAACCACTTACAATCACTGATGTGACTCTCATAATTACTGATCTGATACAAAACTAAAATATTTCATATTCAAAATCACACTTTGAGGCAATATGTAAAGCAGTTCTACAAAAGGGGAAATCACAATAGAGAGAAATGATTGAATTTTTACTTGGCCTTGAAACAGGTCCACCACAACTGATTGATTCCTCTTTAGATGATTATCCCATGCCTGAAAAAGTAACAAATCAAAATCAATATTCTGTACATAAGTACATATAATTAACACAAAGGGATTAACTTTGTTCATTAAAACAAAAAGGAAAAATGCATCTTCATACATTAGTTTGTCCAAAAATATCCATGAAACCATTCCACCTATAGTCATACGACATGTCCCCTTTGAATATCATAGAGGCCGTATCATTGCCAGTGCAACTTAACAAAACAGAGTCATAAGTTTGGTGCTTCCTCTTTGTACCAAATAGTTTTAACCTTTATTGCAGACAATGGCATGGATGGCCCATACAATTTTAGCATAAGAAAAGGATTGTTAACAGTGTAAGGAAAAAAAATCAGTTGTTCAGATACCTCATGTGCTACTTCCTCATCTGGTCGACCATCACTGTCCTTAAGTTCAACATATGGTTTGAGCTGAACTCTATGGGAAAAAAAATCACTATTCAGTCTCCCCAGTGACATGTTATGACTGTCCAGGCACACAACACATTGACAATCTGTGAGAGTAACTTACTGGGAATTTTTTAATGCTACACAATCTCCTCAAAAAAAGTTTATATTTACTGACAACACAAACACACCTGTTTAAGTCCTCATGTAAACCATCCAAGAGGAATGACAAGAATTCCTTCCAAAAGAAAAGCAAAAAATAGATATCAGAAAAGAAGACATCATGCAATTTAGTTTTTCCAATCAACATTATATAAAATTAACACTGCTAGATGACCTATTAAAAAGAACTACTGCATAAATTTCAAGGTGAACAATGATTTCACAAAACAAGCTAAGATTAGAAGTGTAGTACAGGGGTTAACAATCAATAGTAGATGTAGCATCCTTGTATGCTGTAGAACTCCTTGGCAAAGTTCAGTGTCATCCATATATATTTTTTTAAAACTGATGTGAAAGGGAAGTTAAATGAATAGCTGCTGAAATTGCATTCTTTTCAGTGATCAGTTGCCTATCATCAAACCAAACATCATTGTAAATAGGATGTCTATGACAATATGACTATTCTGTATTTCCAAAATGTCTCTCCTCTGACCTGGGAGTCATGCTGCTGAAATCCATTAAATCTTGGAGCATACCTTCCTATTGTCCACTATGAGATAAATGATATGTATCAAGTTTTGATTAATCTGAAACTCAGTTAATTAACAATTAAAAGTAACAGAAAAAAATCCACAAGATAATACAGTTCTATTGATCCATATACTTACCCTGAGTTTCAGTGGAGCAAGGCTGCGGGAGCTGCCACTCCACAAATCTTGAGTAAGGTCTCCATACCGACGTGCAATGTGCCCTTTCATACCAAGAGGGTTGGTCCTATAAAAACACAATTTAAATATAAGATGAGATTTTCAAAATCAACACAAAAAGAAAAATAAACATGATGCAATGTGGTTTGATCCATTTTCCCCAAGAGAAATTTACCTACACAGCAGAATTTTAGTTCAATTCAATCTTCAAATGTCCAAATCTGATTACCAATTACCTCCAGACACTTCCCTGTGCATAAGTTAAGGTAATTTATTGTTGTATCACGTCAACACCCTCCCGCTAAATGGTTTTTCTCTTGTAAGAAGAGCTTACACTTAAAAGTAAAAGTGTAAATTGCTCTCTTAGACTCTTTAGGAAAGTACATACCTATTAAGTTCATATAAGTGGCACTTAGTTGTGAAGTACTGTGTCAGGGGTTGGGTATTACTGAGACACTGCAGTGCAGAGTTCATAAAGCAGGTGTTACCCAAGTTACTGAGGCCTGTGGCTCCTTTTTCTGTTGGTTCTGATGGGACAAATGTTAAAACAGATTCAGTGCTTGCCAAAGAAAACAAAATATACAACATGTACGTTAATGCCAAGTGTGCTGTCTCAAAGAAGACCTATGTTGCCGACTTTGCATATTTAAAAGATCTGCAAAACCCTTTTCTGTCCAAAGTCACTTTTTCCACCACAGATAACCATTTGTGAAAATAATAGGAAAAATTTAGACACCCCTTAAATGCAACATTCACCTCCCTAAGACTTTTTCAACTACATGTAAATACCTACCTAAATTGAGTTTCTCCCTAAGACTTCTGTTGTTTGCCAAGGAGGACATCTCTTCTGGCCAACTCATATCTCTGTTTCGAACTAGA